GGTAAGGCTTATTTGCTTTATGAGAATTTCATAGTGTGATGCAATCCTCTAATTGCCTTATAAGCTACTCTGCCGATTATAATATGGTTGCAGCATGCTTGCTGTCTACCTTGACGAACCATATAATAGCTTTTTCCCCCTTTTGGTACAAGCCATGTGATGGGTTTTTGAACGGCCATAGTTTAGCAGAGGATATTGTTGCTGTGCTAGCGTACCTATGCTCAACACTGTATATATAGCATGCCCAATACTGCAATATCTTGGATAATTTTCAGGTTGGCAATCTTCTTCTGTGTGATAATGTCACCATGATAGTATCTGATTTGATTTTTAAGGCAAACTGCAGTGGATCTTGAGTATGGGTCTGCCTCGTAGTTAGTATGGATCTTTGAGCTTGAAAGCGTGAACGAAGTATTGGCTCATCGCATTAAGGGTTAGAACTGCATTTTAATCAAGAAAATAAGAGGGGCCTGCAAGGACTCAATACTCTGCCTCCTTAACTCAAAAGATTAAGTTGTAAGGTGAAGGCCTAGGATTGGTTTTACTAATATCTCTGACATGCTAAAATTGATGAAAGATTGTCTGGGCGAAAATTTTTTGCTCTTATGTATATTTTTCGTTGTCTCTCCCACATTTTCCTAGGAAGACAATTTTTGAGGAAAAAATCATGGATGCATGTTTGTTTGTTTGGATAGTATGGCTGCTGATAGATATGCTCTGCTTGTGAATTAGGTTCACTGATCAGTTAGTGTTAGTTTATACATGATGAAGTGCACGTCTAGTAATCTTATTAATATTTGTTTACAGATACAACTTATTGGATTTAATTGATCACTTTCATCAACGTGGCTTGTATCGTTCCATTTTCTTAAGGTTTGTGCCCCAGAACTTTATGTTAGCTATACATGCCCAGTTCTCTTTTCCTGTTGTTTCCCCTCCACATTTTCTCAAAAAAAAAAAAAAAGAAGAAAAAGAAAAGGCAGGTTTTTGTCTCCTTATATGACTGAGTTTCTTTGCAGCATAATGGAAGGTGAAGAATCATTGGAGAAATTTTCTCCTGAAGTCGAAGTTAGTGACCCACGCATTAAAGATGCCATTCCTCTGTTGCCCCCAATTATTCTGTTTCATGGAACTGGTGATTATTCCATACCAGCAGATTCCAGGTATATTGTCATGAAAATTCCTGCTTCCAGAGCATCGATTATATCTCTACGACATTGAAGGAAATTGGGAAAGTATTTTTGTGATATTCTTACAATCTATTTCATTCGTGCTACAAATAAAACCTGTTGAGTTAATAATATCCTCCTATTAAATGACTTTCATGATATTTTAGTTTCGCTTTTCCTTTTTCCTTTCTGCTGTGTTACATATTTTTGGTCAGAATACCAAATATTATATTTTACTCTTATCTACGAAAACTTAATTATATACTCCTCTAGTCTTTAATATAGGACCTAATTGGGAGTTGATGTTGGTCTTATGTGTAAGACCTATTTTATATGTCTACCAACTTTTCCCAAATTAACCCTAGTAATAAATATTCTCCAATAATAATCAAGTAGGAGAGGGAGGGGAGGAAATTGAGAAAGATGTTTAGGGTGTTTTACAAAAAACATATTGTATTAACTAATTTAACTAACATTCTTAATCTACTCAAATTAATTAATTAGGTTTTACGTTAAGGACAGCAGGAGTATTTTTCTCTACTAAACTAGCAAGTATTTTAATCAGTGACAAGTGCACATGGTTTTATATTTATCGCTTGTTGATGTTTATAAGCGTTTGTTTGCAGTAAAAAGTTTGCTGATACTCTGAAGAACGTGGGTGCACGAACTCAGCTTATTCTATATGATGGAAAAACACACACAGATCTGTTTCTCCAAGTAAGTGATAAGTGTTAGCAAATCCTTTTGGTTTTTCATTTTAGTATTAATATAAAAAATAAAATCTACATGGAGCTATATACTGTTTATAAATAATAAATAGAGCAACTCTTCCTCGGTCCTATGTAATACATTTTTTCTTTCAATATTCTTTTATGCAATTCAATAGGGTTTAAATGCTAAGAAAAATCAGTACAATCTTCAAAAAACTTTCAAGTTCTTATTTATTTTGTGCACCTTACAAGAGAAATGTATTTAGTCTGTTGGCAAAATAATACATATTTATTAGTGTGTATGGTGCAATCTCTGAACTTTGTGAAGCAATTCTACGCTGTCAATCGTGTGGAACTATAGGCGAGCAGGCTTGTTAACTTGAATTAAACTATTGTCCTGATACAGGCTGCGTCAGCTTTTAAGCCTGAACTGACTAAACCATGGCTTAGAATATTTAGCTTGGATTTCAGCTTCATAGACCTAATGCCGGTTGTTGATGATAAATTCATTTAAAGATAAGCCTTGCACACCCCATTTTTTTTTGGGGGGGGGAAGAAGAAAGAAAAAAGAGATTAGTCTTGTACTTGAACACGTTAGACATTACAGCTGTCCATTTTCTTTGGCGTTTACATTTGAGAAAGATCTCAAGGAAGTAATGGAATTACCAAAAGGTATCATAACGAGAGAGCAACATGTAATGACAAGTTCTGGTGCATGAAATGACAATAGATATTACTCGTTTTGAAATATTTTTGTGATTATGTTCTCTCTCCTTTTTTTAAAAAAAAAAAAATCTTATAGTGATTTCCCTTTAAATTTTTTATCTCTATTTATTGGACTGATAAAAGCGTTTGTTGTATAAATACTGCATATAGCTTTCCGCATCTTTTTCTTCAACAAGACAATGATGCGCACTCATTAAACACTAGATCTGCTCTCTTATGTTGTAATTGTTTTACCTGCAAAGATACTTTCTCAACGAAGTCTTACATGTTGATGATGAGCAGGATCCATTGCGAGGTGGTAAAGACGACCTATTTGAACACGTAGTTTCTATCATACATTCTGGTGATGATGAAGCTCTTGCACAGGATGCAATGGCACCCCCAAGAAGACGGTTTTGTCCTGAGTTTTTGTTGAAGTTGGCCGGCAAGATCAGTCCTTTCTAAGCTTCTGGTAGTTCTCTAGATTCCTTTCATGTATTGATCAGGCTCGCCTGAAATTTACTTCACTCCGAAGGATCTTTAACGACATGGATCTTCTCCATTCATGCATTTAGAGAGAAGAATGACGAGAAAATGTAACTGTGAATGCGGAGGACGTGGAAGGATCTCAATAGTTCTTGTATATTAATTACAGTAGTTCCGAATCTCTTCTATTCATTTGGGTATTTCTTAGCTTCATGTTCTAGTAGGGGCTTCGTTGGAATGGTGAAGAATACGGCATACGGCCATTTAGTTATTGCCGTATAATTTATTTATTTTTACAAATTCATGTAACCATTAAAATTAGGATTGAGCTGGGATTCTTAGTATAAATTATTGGTTGAGACCTGAATAATATTTGTAATCAAAATTTTTATACTACCTTCAACCGTAGATATAAGAGCTAGTTTGTAAATTGATTTATAATACAAACTATTTCTTTAGTAATTTTCAACGTGTTTTACACAAACTAATAAAAATCTTAAGTTTTATTAACTTTTATTTAAAATTCAGCTTTTCAATTTTATCCCTATTTAATATACGATACACCTCATAAGAATAAAGTTAACACAATAATAAATGAATGGTAAAGTTGTATGTTCATTTAAAAATTCTCTCTGCCTTATAAATAGGACTAAAAATTTTCTTCTTTTTCAATCTTATTTATAGGACCAAAGAAGTAGGAGTGGTAATATAGGTCAACTCGCAGATTGTGGATTGACCCATGACGAGTTAGGATTAGGCAGTGCCGGTTGAAAAGGCCCTGTGTTATACTTCCAACTATTATTTTCTTTTTTGTTGTTGTAATTTTCTTTTTTTTTAAATATTTTTCATAAAGAAAAAATAATGAAAAATGTAATAATATAATTATAATAATTAATAAAATTAAAAAAAAAAACCAAAAAAAGTGGTTAGGCGGTACGAGTTAAAAAGTTTTCTTTGTTGGCGAATTGATTTTTAACTAATCCTAACCTACTATTTTTGGGAGTTAGCGTGTTGGTATTAGCTCTACAAAGGAGTGGCTTTTATATTTAGTATGAGAGGTAGTATCATGTAAATGCAATAATCCATTTCTTAGAAATTTACGTTTTGCTATTAGATCTTTTTTTTTGGGGGGGGGGGGGGGTTATGAAGTGGACTGAAACGCCTGCGCGCTAATGGACCAAGTGCTCATAATCAAATTAAACTAAACCCATCACAAAATCCATTTCTATTAATATTTGGTTCGTTTGCCTAAATAGAATGGTTTGGTTTAACCGCGTAATTTGCGGTTCAACAAATAAAAGCGTCTTTCCATTCAATGTGTTTTTTTTCCAGAAAAATAATCTCCCCACCACACCCCCCTCCAAAAAAAATATTCTATGAAAAATTTAGGATTAAGAACTCTAAAATATCCAGACAACTGTTTTTATTCTCTGAAAAAAAAATCATATATTTGCCTCATTTATGTTTTATGAAAAATCCCAAAAAAAAACCTTTAAAATTTTAAAATCCTAAATCAGGAATGATTGCGAAAATGCTTGTTATTTGCTTTTCAAATATTGTCAACTATTGTTAAAGTACAGTGAAAAAAACTGATTAGAATATTTAAAATTCAAAGATACTTTTTAGATTCTCACTGTCTTTTATGTGACGTATTTAAAGGTTTATTAAGTTGAGAAAAACAGTAATTGAGTAATTGTTTTTCCATTTTATTTTCTGGTCGTTTTCATTATATTTAAGGGTCTATTTCAAATTTTTCAATGCCGTAAAGTCCAGGGCATGACTTTGGGAACCATGAACAGTAGTTAGGCATTGACGAGGAAATGGATCAGAAGACCAGGAACAGTTAAGTTTCTATTCCCCTGGAGGGTTCTTCAATCTTCATTTTGTATATAAAGGCTTATCATGAACAAAATTAAACTCAACAAATCAAACATACCAAACATGAAACAACTTGTGGTTCGATTAGTGCTGCTTTTAGTTTTAATTCTCGTGTCTTTCTCTTGCAGTTTTGCTCGAACCATGGCTGATCCTAAGGGTATGTTTGGCTCAATGAGAGGAAGGGGAGGGGAGGGATTTTAATGGAAGGAAGGGGAGGGGAGGGGAGTGGAAGGATTTTAATATTATCTTGTTTGGATTTATAAAAAAAGAGGGGAGGGGAGGGAAAAACATTTTAATATGGATAATTTTGCTCTTATTTTATTTAAGGTGTGGGTATAATGGTCACACATGACAAAATATAGACATAATGGTTACAACATGACAAAATATGGGTATAATGGTCATAATATGACAAAATATTGCCCTTTCCCTCCAAATCCTCCCAATTTTGGAGGGGAGGTTAGGGAGGGGAGGGGAGGGGAAATTTTAAAAAATTTTCCCTCCCCTCCTAAAATTTGTGTGTTACCAAACAAGGGAAATGATTAAAATCCTCCCCTTCCCTCCCCTCCCTCCCTCCCAAATCCCTCATACCAAACACACCCTAAGGGTAAGATATATGCTTCCAATATATCAGTAATCTCCTTCTCTTGGTTTCTAGTCTCTTCTGGCTCCAAAGAATCATGGATCTTTATCTAAATTTAAAGCCATTTATTCCTTTTCAATTCTTTCTCCATTGTTTCTCTTTTGTTCACATCATCGCCTGTGTGAATTTGAATTCTCTAGTGATCTTCTCTATTTTTGATTGAAAAAGGAAAGGCTAAAGTGGGTCTATTTCCGGACTTAATCTCTATTTGCATTAACTAGCACAGTAGTGCTGATAATAGGAGTCGACATATGAGTAGTTGGTAGTTGGAACTTTGTGTTTATCTCTTTCCTTCCAATACATTTCCAAGCTCTTCGGAACTCTATATTATTCCTTCCATCATTTTTTTATATAAAAATCATTGATTGAATTTCGTTTAAAATGTTGGTTAAAATCAGTTACAAATAATAAATCTGTAAAAAAAAAAAAAACCTTTGTTGTCAAAAATACCCTCATTTATGTGAAAGAAAAGGAATGTGTAATGAAAAAAATATGTGAAAATTAAATATAATTATATGAGTAACATAAGTAATTAAGTTAGACTAAATGGAGATATCAATAAAAAAATTTGAAACAACTTCCAAATGTCTTTTACACTGCGTAACCCAAAATTCTCTTATAAAAAAATTAAAAAAAAAAAAACCGCCTGCTTCATGGGTTTTATTTTTATTTTAACTTTTTTCTATAATTGCAGGAAAGAAGGAAGAATCATACCACAATGGATGTGGACCCTATGTGAGGACTTGCACTGGATATCCACCACCTCCCTGCAACACTCCAATCTGCGAATAGATATCATCAATTAATAATATTATTAGTATTAATTAATGAATAAATTATTAATTATCGCTCTTTGATTAAGTATCTGTGATATATATATATATATATATATGTATATGTTTGTACTTTGTACAATTGTACTGCTACTATAGCAAGTATTAATAAATGAATAAATTGGCAGAGAGCTCTGCCCTTCTGGGTCACTCCTGTGTAAAAAATAAAAATAAAAATTTATTCTACCTGAATATTATTTAGTAATTTAAAATTTTTCCTTCATACTTTTCTTTTTTTGATTGATCTATGCTCATAACGTAAAATTGTACGTGAAATTAAATTAAAATTTAAAATAATTTTAATAATTTAAGTTTTGGTATAAATTAATGTCATTTTAAGTATGTATTAATACATTTAAACTCAAACTCTGTGTGCGTGTGTGTGTTTTATTATTATAACAGAAGTTATACTAGTTAAGTATCTCAACATTTCAAAGGTATGGGGAAAGAGAAAAGAAATATTATACTTATAACTTTTAGGCAAAAATGATGAATAATTATGCCAAAATTTTCAAATTTGAAATTATTCTAGAAACTAAAATATTAAGGCAAAAAAATTTATCAGCATAATTCCATAACATAAAACTCACAAGTCGCTATGATTATGCATCCTTGTTTCTCCTTATTATATAGCTTTGTTTGAATTGACACTGACAAAAATAATTTTAATCCCAATTAAATTTTGTAAATTGAAGTTGGGATAAAAATTTATTGGTGTGATGCGATTAATTGTGTTTGGATAAACTTTCATAAAAGTTCAATTTGACATAAGCTTGTTTGGACGTTATATTGAAATTTTTTTTTTTTGAAGGTTGAAATCGGGGAAAAGAGGACAAAAACCAAACAAGAAAATATTGTGTCAACTTTTAAATGATTTTTGAATAAAAACTCATTTGTCCTTGTCGCTATGCCAAACATTTTTTTTCCCACTTATCTCAATTTTTTTCGTAGCTGCAGTCTAACCCCACATAGCTTTATTCCAAACATACTAGACAAAATGTGAATAGCCTCTCGTCAATTGTAATTGGAAGCTAGTTTGACCTCCCATGTGGGCATGTCCCCTCAAGTCTCCTTGCGACCCAAGTCAATCTGGACTTTTCTTTAGATTTTTTTTGCCGACTTTTCTTTAGATTTTTTTTGTCAACTTTTCTAAGTACTAATTAAAAGTATAATTAAACAACCATTTTTATGATTGGTTAATATTAAAAGTATAATTAAATTGTTCTAAGTACTAATTAGTTTGAAAGCGGCTGCGTGCTTACAAATGTTTAAGGTGACACGAATCTTTATAATTCATAAATTATCATATAAATTTTCATATAGAAATATATAACTTTATATTGTATGCAGAGAATTATCGTCATAAATATTGTTTGAAATTGGAGACTACACTTGACACACCATTATATATAACTTTGCCTTTCATGGTGGAGACTATATTCTTCCCTGCAACTTGTAATATCATCAATTATAGTACACAATTTCAACTTTGCTTCTCTCATAGATACGGATGGTGTAATGAAGTGTGAGTGTGACCGTGCTAAATTATATTACTGGAGTGCCTTACTCTCTCTCTCTCGCTCTCTCTCTCTAAACGATGAAAGCTATTGTTTTTGTTTTTTCAACTAAACCATTTAGTATTCAGATACTCGCATTAAATTTTCCACTAATAGGTGGAACTGGAAAAGGCTGAGACTATAAAATGAGTCTTTCATTTAAGATTTGAAGAGTAAAACTTTTCCAACAAATATTTAACGCAATTGTATATAGGACTTGAACTCAAAATCATTGGTTAAGCTAATAAAAAGATTTCTTATTAGCTAAATTACACAATCGTTTGTTGAAAAATAAGACAGCTATATATTATATATAAAAAGGGAAAATTGGTTAAAATAATTTGCAGTACAAGAAACTGAAAAGCAATATAATTTATTTGAAACAAGAAACTACAGGGGAATTATTGGTTTACATATATATATATATATATATATATATATATTCCGTTGGCCAGAAAAAAACATATATAGATGTTCCCCTTCAAGCAGATTGTACCAAACACTTAAAAGCCAATTTTCAAACTACGGAATTTCCACGCATCCCTGCCCAGATACCATTCCTTAATTTAGCTATATCCACTCTACAGAGGTTTCTTAAGTTAAAAGCTTGTTGATGATTGGATGGCGTGCTCTACACATGGCCTCTAAAGGAATAACTTTTGGCATGGTGAGCCCTGCTCCTTCAGTCTCATCAATTTCTTCCTCACCTGCTCGTTTCCATTCAAAGCATTGAATCAATAATCCCAAAGTCAATCCCACTGTTCGTTGGGCCAATCCTGATCCAGGACATGCTCGTCTTCCCAACCCAAATGGAATTATCTTGTTTGCTTCTCCTTCTTTCTCAAACCTCTCTGGCTTAAAACTTGTAGGATCACTCCACACTTGGGGATCTCTATGGATTGCCCAAGCATTGACTAATACCATAGTGCCTCGTGGAACATTATATCCTGCGATTGTGCAGTCATTTGAAGCCTCATGTGGAAGCAACAATGGTGCAGCAGGATGCAATCGAAGTGTTTCGGAGATAATGTTTTGCAGGTATGGTAGTTTTAAAATGTCTGGCTCATCTATTAATCGTTCATTCCCTATTTGGGTGTCTATTTCTTTCTTTGCCTTTTCCAACACATGAGGATTGTTTAATAAACTAGACATTGCCCATTCTAAAGTCGTAGCTGATGTATCCGTTCCAGCAAGAAGCATATCCTACATGTCAAAATTAGCATAGTAAAATCAATATCAGACTAAATTGATCGGTTATATCAGAATTATACGATGGCTTTTACAGCTGATATAATGATTTGTAGTTTAGAACTTATAGTATTTGCTTTCTGCCTTGAATTTCGATGCTCATCAATGACTCCTTGCAAGAACCCATCACTTCTCTTGGCCAAACTCTTGAGCCTGCTCTCCAAGTGATCATAATCAAACCACCTCAATATGGGCAAGAAGTCTGCTGGATTATTTGCTCCTCCAGTGTCACCAACTCCTTTATCATCTCTCTGAACTTTCTTGCTTCTTCCACGTCCCCAGCTTCATGGTCATCCAATACCTCTTACCTGAAATCATTTTCATCATGGTGTTGTACGTCATCTCTGAAAGCCTTGGCTTCATCTCCACTTTCACAAACTCGTTGCATGAGTCTTGAGCAAGCTTTTGAACGAGCCGCTTCATCCCGTCTCTTCGGATTTCCAAGAAATTATTCAGACGGTGGTTCGAGAGCACCTCAACGGCTGTGATGCGGCGGAGGTTCGCCAGTGGTCGCGCCGTAGGGAGCGAACACCAAGGTGGTGCGGTTATAGCCAATATGCTCACCGAGGAGAAAGCGGGGCCGGTTCGCCAGGATGATGTCATTTTGTGTGAAGCATTCTTGGACTGCAGGAGGCGACGACACAACCACCACCAGACGAGAGCCAAACCATAGAGAAATGATTTGGCCATAACGTTGAGAAATCCGGTGAAAGGCGTGATGAAGTGGTTTTTTCAGTTGGTGGAGATTGCAACAATGGGAAGAGAAGGCGGACCAGGTGGGATGTTTTTGAACTTCTTATTTTGAACGAAGAGGTTGAGAGTGAAGAAGAAAGCCAGAAAGAGGAAAGGAAATAAGAGAACAGAAGATGACCATCATTGTTTGTTTGGTACGTTTGCGTTTGTGGAGTACTCAATGGATTTGATTCATGGAGAGATATATGTGCCGACGACACAACCACCAGACGAGAGCCAAACCATAGAGAAATGATTTGGCCATAACGTTGAGAAATCCGGTGAAAGGCGTGATGAAGTGGTTTTTTCAGTTGGTGGAGATTGCCAACAATGGGAAGAGAAGGCGGACCAGGTGGGATGTTTTTGAACTTCTTATTTTGAACGAAGAGGTTGAGAGTGAAGAAGAAAGCCAGAGAAAGCAGGAAATAAGAGAACAAGAAGATGACCATCATTGTTTGTTTGGTACGTTTTCGTTTGTGGAGTACTCAATGGATTTGATTCATGGAGAGATATATGTGCGTTGGTGGTATAAATAGCTGCTTCGTGTTGCGTTTGATCTTAAGTACGTGGGTTAATAATAGATCACATAGGATCTCTCTAAGGATCTCTCTTTCAAGTTCCAATTAGGTCATTTGATACGTCACATTCGCTGACTTTTATTTTTCTTGTTGCTCACTTGAAAGCTTCACTGTATTGACATATTGACATAGGATCATACGTATCACCAACCAATTTAAAAAAAATTCGAATTCATCGATTTGTGTCTAATATATAAGTAAGTAAGAAAAACACGTAATTGATTAGTGTTGCTTTTAGCTTTAATTCTCTCGTCTTTCTCTCTTTGCTCGCTTTTTGCTCGACTCATGGCTGATCCAATGGGTAAGATAGATAGATATATACACACGCATATGCTTCCAATCAATAATCTCCTTTTGTTAATTTCTAACTCTCCTCTAGGTCTAACATTCGAATTGATTTTGGATGGTCTAAATTAAATTAAAATTCTTTATATATTTTAATTAGTTGTTTTACTTTAATAGATAAAAATTCAAAATAAAAAAATATCTTATAATTAAAACTATTTAAAAAATAAATTTATTATTGGAAAAATTGCATATTAAAGATTTTAAATATGAATTATCTATATCAAATTTTGAATAGTCTATATTGTATTACAGTGATTAGGTTATGGTGTATATATAATTGATATGATAAGCACTGAACGAGGACCCATGACATGGTGTTGATAGGAAAGAAATACAAAGCAGGACGAGGTTTCAGTGCTCGATTACCACCATCACTTGATGAGTAATCTTTCCAAATTTAATATATTTTTAATTAATTGTTTTTGAATAAAAATAATTTTTTGAAAAAATGATGGTTGAGATGTTATCTTTCCTCTTATTCTATACCCATTAAAATAATTGTTTAAAAAAAACAAAGAAACTAAATATAGACCGTCTAGATCAGATTTGAACAACTTATATCTTATTAGTAAATTCATTCTTATAGACTCGAGAGTAGGATAGAACGCATCTAGAATGGGTGGCCCACTTTACTTATGAGTTATTGTTTATCTCTCTCACATGGTGTTTTTGTTTTTTTTTTAATTAACTCAGAGTATGCTCAAGTTATTTTAGTCTTGAGACTAATTTTTGTCAAATTGGGAGTGTTAAGGTTAAAGTTTTCCTAACAAATACATTTTTTGAGATTCAAACTTGTATTTTTTTCATCTGAAAATTAGACTACTTACTATCTCAACCAATAGTTTGTTGGTCATGGCGTTGCTATCTTGCCTACTCTAATACTACATTTAGTTATAATACAAGTGTTTGTCAGAGTTAGGATAAATTGTTATTGGGCCTGAAGGCCAGGAAGCCCATTTACTATGCAATCAGTTTTGGACGGGCGAGTTAGCCCTTTCAGTATTGAATAGATTAAAAAATTTATTTAATTTAGTTATTTATAACAATTATAAATTAATTTTTTTAAAGTATCTTTTTTAATCATAACTATATTTGGATGAAAACCCTCATAATATGCGTAATCAATAGAGATAGTTTAATTTAAAAATAAATTATAAATTTAAAAAATAAAATAAATTGATGTCTTATATTAAAAACTAAATTCAATCATTAACTATCTTTTATATTAAAAATCAAATGGAATAATTAATAACATAAGAGAAAATGTTGTGAAGCCGACAAACTCCTCTTAACTCTAAATTAAATTAATTGATGATACAGTCAAATAGTTGCATCGCTTACTTGACAGCTCTTAAACAACCATCAAGCAAATGTTGATTTAAAAAAAATAAAATAAAAATGTTTAACAGTTGTTAATTATCAAATATTTCTATAAAATAGTTTACAGTTAGTATAAAGAAACATCAAGCATTATTTTCTTTCATTCCCATCTTATCTTATTTGACGCTTGTCTCTTTAATAGTCCAATATTAAGTGTCAAATATTCCATGCAATAATGGGATTAGGCGAGTTGATGTCATTAAATTTACTTATTTTAATACTTATTAAGTTAGTTATTTAATTCTTATATTTAAAATTAAAAATGAGATCTTTAGAATCTTGATTTAAAGGAAAGGAGACATTTGATACCTTAATAATATAATAGGTATGCATATATAATTTTCCTCACTCGCTAATTAGTTTTTTTTTTTAATTGGCCAGAAGAAGTATTCATAGCTAATTAGTTATTTAATTTTATCCTTCTTCATCATTAGCGTCTAAACCCACCTTCAGCTTATGGGTTTGATTTTATATTGCAGGAATGAAGAGTTGTACTGGTATTAATTAATATCAGTACTATTTCCGGTCCTAATTATAAAATCTCATTTATTGTTTACAAACGAAGTCTTATAATTATGACTGGAGGTAGTATTAATTAATGAATAAATAGTTAATTATAACTCTTTGATTAAATATCTGAGTTATGTTTGTACTGCTACTATCACAAGTTTTAAGCAGAGAGCTCTGGCGTTTTAGGTCACTCCCGTATAAAACAAAAGTAAAAATTAATTCTACTTAAATATTTTTCAATCTCACGTCTCTACTTTGGAGTTAATGTTTGAACTTTCACTTTTATATTATTGAATAACTTAAATCTTTTTGCATCCTAATTTTCATGTAAGATGCTCAAGCATTTGGTTTTATTGTGTCCACTAATTAAAAAAGTTTTCCAACTGAAAGTGTCTAAAATCTTCATAGTATGTGTGGGTAAATGATACTCTTCCGGTAATAAATATGAGACCCATTTTGTAATATAAAGTCCTAAATATAAAACTCATTTTGTAGTGTAAATTATACTACAAAATATGTCTTATATTTAGAACTGGAAGAGTATTCAAGATCCTTGAAAGCTTTTCTAAACATGATTGCATCTTTATCCGCATGCCGCGTTCAAGAACACATCGAAGTCTTAAGGTACATATTTCAATAGTTTATTGTATGTTGGTGTTGTTGAGTTGTGACTTAAATTTGATAATATTTATATTTTAAAGTATAAATTTTATTATATTAGTTTTATCTCTTTATAAAAGGTTGATTTGATTAAACGGGTCTAAAGCGGGTGCTCTCACATGCTGGGCTTCACAAATGGAGCTATTTTAGGTAAGCGGGCTTTTAGGCCCAGCCTGTTTAAGCCTGAACTCATTTGGAGGTGCCGATCCTCTTTTCTAGCTATAGTCTGTTTGGTAGCACTCAAATGGTTTGGGGATCCAAACCATGGTTTGGGAAAAATTCTACAAACAGCTTCTCCAAAAACCAATGGTTTTGGGTCAAACCATGGTTTTGATTCCAAAACCATGGTTTTGGAAAAGCAAATTTTTGCTTAGAAAAAGGGAGAGTGTGAGGGCCTATAATATGTATCTTGTTATTTTTTTTATAATATAATTTAATCTTATTTTTATAAATATATGACATTAATTATTATTAATTATATTATCTTATGTATTATTAATTATGGGTAAAAAACAATTAATTAACAATTTTATTTCTCAAATTAAAATATAGATAAAATCTATTTTTTCAAGCATATTAACTTATGTCTTTTTTTTAGTAATTTGTATATATAAAAAGTGCTTCTGATAACAACTATCCAAACACTTTCACTTCTCAGAATCACTTTTTACAAATCTATTCTTCACAGAATCTATTTTTCCAGAATCTATTCTCGAATCACTTTTCCAAACCACGGTTTGGTTCATCCAAACACACCTAGTGAATGAATTAACTTAATTCTTTTTATATATTTGGCCAAAAAACGGTTCTTTTTAGATAACTTGAGAAGCTAACTTATATGAGTTTGACAAAATAATTTTACTCCTTGCATTCTTTTTAATGGAATTTGCCCAAGACTTTTGTTGTATTTTTGCAATGTCCGGGGTTCACATTCACATTTTTGTTCTTGGATGAGGAATCTCTCAAATCCTCCTTTCCCTTTTTTCCCCTCAAAGTTCCTTTTCATTTTCAGTTTAAAACAATAATGGTTCAGTCATGGTATTTTACAAAACTATAATTAAAATACTTTATAAATTATATTTTATACTATATGGGCATGAAGTGTTCACATTAAATTTTAAAAGTTTAAATTTATTTATTCATATTTTAATATTATGATAATATCTTATAAGATATTACATTAGAGCTATCCATTATTTTTATCTAAGAATGGAGAATCAATTTAAAAAAAGAAAACAGAGAAAAAGAGAACTCTGACAATATCCTAATCCGTTTAATCATTGGTTTCTAAATGTCATTTTTTCATATGGACTAGGGAAAATGATATCTAAATTTCATATAATGACCATTAATTTTTTTAGAGGTTTTTTTTTAATTTTTTTAAAAATTTTTCTTTTTTCTTTCTATTTATTATTTTAGAACTAAACTAAGTTTTTATTTTTTAAAAAATTATCAGAAATCTACTTTTGTATTTCATTAACT